ATGCATTGTGTAATGACCATTCCTTTCAGGCGTTGTTTCCTAAAATTAACAAGCTCCGCATCTGATCTCGTGCAAATTTTCGAAAGCAACACATGCAAGGAATCGTCATTCCTCATTGCACTGAGTCGAGGGCTTAAATCCTTAAATATCCGAACCGAAAACGGGAAAACGATTTATATTTGACACTTACATAGAAAACATATAACATATAGATTTTGTATAAACAAAAAATGTGTTTATAGAATTGATTTTTCATTTATTACGATCGGACCCAATATAATTGTTCTTTTGTCACTTTATACCGAGAGCCCCTCTGGCAGCCATTTTTAAATGTCATTCAGAAAGTTGTCTGCAATTTCAAGAAATAAGTGTCCCCGGGCGATTTTCACAAAATAGTAAAATGTAAATTCCCGTAGACTATGCAAATGTTAATATCAATTTGGAAAGCAGAAAGTCAAACAAACTTTTGATTCAAATAACAATTGTCTTATATATTGGCGTGGAGTCAATAAATCATTAATTCCTCTATCATTCATTTCCAAGATTTTTTTCTACGATGGATTTCAAAAAGTTTTAGAACATGTATTTTCCTGTTAAAACAGTTTTGTTCATTGAACTGGTATTATATTTCTAAAAGGTAAAAATCTAAAACTTGATGGCAAATTAAAGAAGTGATATCAAAGCTTGTTTCTTTTGAAAAAACGATGAGATGCGGGATATGTGATTTAGCACTTATATCTTGACCATTCACTCTTACCAGTTCCAAATCCAACATTTGGCAAGGCCCCCATGTTAATCAGTCTCCATACACGTTTCCACATGTCAAGAGCTATATAACATAAATTTATTACACCAAAAGAACAAATAAAAGACACGATTTGAGTTTCATATATTTTTTAAAACGGACACTTTATTACTTGATTGATACTGAGAGCAACTTGCATATATTGGCCAGATATCAACAAATTAATCTTGATGAAAAATTAACTGTTGAAATAACCGTTCTCACCGGCAAAAACCTAGATAAAATGAGACTGATTGGAAAATTCAAATGTTACTACTGCGTCTTTATAGATGTAATTAGAACGGCTATCATACAACTACAAACTTTATCGATCATAGTTAATCATAAACGTTCAATTAACATTTTTGTAAATTCGAAATTGGGGCCATTAACTATGATATCATACAGTGTCTATAGTTTGGTCGAGGAGGGGTATCGCACTAGACATCGATCGTATGTAGGTTTACATCCCATGCAGACTGATCGCCTAAAATTACATTCGTATGATGCGAGACTCGACAGTCGACATTTAACCGGAAACTAGAAACATTTTGTCACCCATGAAGCAAATCAATTTTTACTGCTTAATACATGGTGTTAAAAACGCAACCCAAAGATTAAGTTCTATAAGTATGAGAATAGCATGACGTTTCAAGGTAACTCGTTTGAAAAGGGATGGCGGTGATTGAAATTTCGATGTAAAGATAAAACTGGAACGAAATATTTGTATATTTCTTTGAAAAACTAAGAAATATACATCACATATCGAATTTTTCAAAACAGAAAAAACATGTATAAATAGTAAGGCCTGCAGGTCTAATTTCCCCTGATAGCATTAATATTGGTCTCGTATATGTCATAGAATTAATCCTTGAAACAAAACTATTATTCGAAAACTATTATTCTTTGTAATTATGCTGACCTACATTTGAATCAATCAATTTAAAAATTCATTAATTCAATTTAAAAATAAACATTTTGACGTTTTGAAGGTCACTGAGGGTCAATGATTTGAACTACTGAGAACTTTTAGATGATTTTAAAAAATATTGGTAAAATCGAAACAACTTGAAAAATCAAAATGGCCGATTTATCAAAAAAATTATCAAAATGACTGCCATGTAGTTTAGCCAGCATACCTAAACCCTGATCAGATCGACTTGACATTTTAAATGTTCGTCAAGTAATTTACCTAGTATGCCCTAAACCTAATCAGATTTTGGCACTTTTCTGTAAAAAAGCTGAACAGGTAAGCGCAGATTATTATTGCCTATTGGACTGTAAATCTTAGTTCTTGGTGATTAAATATGCAAATATCGTGAGTTTGAGATCTAAAAATTCAAAAGAGAGGCCAATTGATTGTAATCGTTCATTTCTTCGATTTTCAATAATATACGCCAACGTTTTTGTTGTGTCGGTGAGAGTTATAGAGTTGCAGGCAGGGTTTGAATATTGTTTAAATTACCACGTTATACTGTTCAATATAAATAAAATCATTTGTTTTCCCAGTGCTGTTCTTCCATATACTCCAGGATTATTAATAGAGCCTGGTACGCAGATCCCTCTCTGCCTAAACTAACATTGACATTGTTCCGCAAGCAATAATCTATCAAGAATTAAGAAAATGAGAACTTGTATAAGACTTGGGGCAAATGAATGATTAGAGCAACCTGACACTGTGATATATTTTCAGATTCTTACTGTTATATCATGTCCATGGACCAATATAGAGATGCATGTCATCGATTCAGTTCCGAGGATCATGACATGGTTATTGTCCTAGATACCAAGGCCAATAGAAGCCGATTAAAGCATCTCATTAAGCATGATAATTCTCTTACCTTTCTAGGATGTCCTCAACAGGGAGTTCTAAATTTTTATCGAGAACCTACTCACGCCCGGTGATCGGACAAAATGGATGGAGGTCGTGTAGACCATTGTTGCCTGATTTATAGCAAAACATCGACTTTTGCACGTTGGCGACGATGCCTCTTCTCATATCTTAGAAGCGCATCGGTTTAAAAAAATCCTAGAAGACCTAACATATTTTACCATGCGTCCGCCTATTCGTGTAGCAATTCAATTGTACAAGTGTAGTTATCTCTTGAAAAAAATAAATCTTCCAGATTTGTTGAATTTTCTTGCAGAAATAGTCTACTCCCCCCCCCCTCTATCCTTTTTGCCCGATCACCGGGCGTGTTATTTTGAGATGGGAAACTATTCTGCACAATACTCGAGTACACTGTACTACATACCACAAAAGCGGAAATTCTCTCTGAATTAACATATTTAACCCTAGAAAATCTGATTTGCAAACCCCAACAATGCAGATACTTGGAGTGATCAAATTCTAAAAGTAAATGAACATGAACACCTTGGGTTAATTTTTGACCAAAATTTAACATTTGAACCACATATATATTTTAAGCCTCACTTTGTGATGCCTGTAATACAGCTCCTAGGTAGATCACAGGGAAATAGTCATTATTAGTGCGCATCATATATTAGGGAGACCAGGATTGATCGAATTGATAAAATTGTTAAATATGATCAGAATCAACCTCTCGTAGCGATTGAGGCAATCTCTTATCGCAATTTATCGATTATAAGAAGAATGTAATCAAAAGAATACGTTTACATTGGTATATGATAGCCTACCCATGCCAATTAGATTGCTATCTGGGGATGACTTTTCCGCTTCATTCCTCTTTTAAATTTAAATAAATTGTGTAATTTCTTGATTTTTCAATTTAGTTTAGGATGTTCACTTCACACTAGTTTAGTTTATTCTTTCTTTCACTATCCCTTATATACTCAATCTTGGATTCAAGGTGTTGATACCATAATATTTTCCTCCGGACAACAAACACTTGGGGTAATGTACTTAACACAATCCACCCATTTCTGAACACTTGAATCGTACTCTAAATGTGTCGTCTGTTAGGTTTCAACAATGACATAATTTCTATGTGTAAATTGATTCGTGCGCTTATATCATAATATTTCGCCAGACACATCAGACAAATGATATACTGTATATGCTTGTTGTTTGCAAATGGAATTAATGTGCTGATATAGATCATATATTTCTCATTTAAATAATACACAACTACGTTTCTTCCAGCAAGCACCGAACCTTCAATTCATGGAATAATCGGTGAATTGATAGATGTGTAGGCATAACGAGAATTGTACATGCTGTATTGGATCATGTTGTATTGGGTAAGTATAAGAGGGTATTTCACTTCTTTCCTGAATTGAAAAATAAATGAAGCCCTTTGATGAAGGGTGGTTTAAAGGGCCGTATCACCGGGTATCATTTATGGAAAATTCTTGCATCAAATAACTGGACTATGTACATGTACTTGGGGGGTGGGGGGTTTGAGAAGGAGCTGAGCCGGTTAAAAGGGCCAAATTAGAAATAACTGGCCAAGATGTATATACAGCAATTACTTACTAAAAGTTCTTACAAATATATCATTATGTGAAAGCACGTGGAAACTAAGATAATCTATTTTGTCTGGCTATAATGAACGACGCTATATGACTCGGTCATTAACACGATGGCATTCACATCAATTGATGTTTTAATTGGACATCAACGAAAGCTGGGGTTCAACAAAAGTAAAGCGACAGAGAAGAGGATGGTTTTTATTTTCTGTCTTTTAAGAGACATCCGATGTTAGCCATTGGATCAATTACAAATACACTTGTAAAATAATTCAAGAGTCACATTTTTGGGGTCTCCGATTCTGAGCTATTGGTACTCTTCTCTATAAGTTTTGTTCTCGGAAGTCCCCATTTTGAATCACTTATCAACGCTTGTTAATGTTTGGCGATTTTAAAAAATCCCTAGAGGATGCATTACAGTAAAACATGTCCTATTGGACACCTCTCTCTGGTGAATACCTGTCTCTAGTGGATACCCTTTCTCCATACATACTCTACTGATCACTATTGTATAAATTACCCTCTCTGTAGTGAAAACCTACCAACACTTCAACGTTTATATGTTCAATATACAAAGGGTTTACTGTAACACAATTGAGATTGAAACTTCCAATTGCCAACCTTATGGAAGGGCGTTTAGTTCAGTTAATAATTATCATTGGCTATCACTGGCATGAAACCAACAACCAGAATCGAACTTCTCGACGCTAACCTGAGTGCAATGGTTAATAATGATAGGCCATCGCTGTGACATGCCGAGCCTCCATTCAGGTTGATAGGTAAACGGGATGTGTAGGATGAAACCTTTATAATTGAAGAGTGTTCTATTTACCTTCTAGGTTCGCTGCCATTGATTCGGGAGAATCTGAATGCCGATGACGTTAGCTTATAAGAGTGAGAGGATTTGTAAAGGATATCTATTATGTACTTTCATAGCCTTTATAGCACATCTATTGATGCGCGCATGTATCTAAAGAGCGATACTTCCTGAACTGATTCCCGGCGTTAATCCCCCAGGAATTTCCCAAGAAAACAAACACTGTTGAGAGCGATTTAACAAACGGATATTCTCAATCTGGAAAAATTACACGTCAATATGTAAGTGTTTTTTTCATTTCCATATTCATTTTACAGATCAAAACTTTTTTTATTTTTAGAAAAGTTATCTATATTGATTGCTATTTCAAGTGTTTGTATTTTCATGATTGGCGCTCATATTGTAATTGATGAGCACATCGTACTACAAAGACAAGCTCAACGTTTTCAGGTCTTCAGCTTCATGATTAATCTTTAAATTGATTTTTTATATTGTTGAAACAAATGTGATTAATTCAAATGAAATAAAGAAAAACGGAGAACAAGGTTTTGTATTTGATATACTGTAAATTTGCTTCACTTTCTTTAATACAAAATGTATGTATCATTGCATTTTGTTGCGTTGATATGGGTATTTTTGTATTGCAAATTTTATTATTGCAATTACACTTTATAGCATTGCGTTGTGTATTGTATTTCATTTGATGCTAATGTATTGTAAATTAAAAGTTATATATATTGTATTTTATATGTACATTAAATATTGTATTGATCTAATGTGCTATCATTAATTTTTTCCAAGTTTCAGACCCTGATCATTGCGAAAAGCATAGTTTGTGTGTAGCTCTTCATGAATGACATTTTACTTTTTTGACTAGCTTAGTGAGGCGAGGATATGAATTCTGGGTAACATGTTACTATTCTTTGATAGGGATCATTATATTGTTAGTAACCATGGCACCAACTAAAAAACTGCAAGCCATATTGAACTAACATAACATATTGAACTGCAAATCGTCAAGCCAACTTCTGCGAAAATTAGGCATAGATATCTCGATTTTGATCTTCAATAAACTGTTATGACATAGCAATACTTATTTAGCTAGAACGACGATCGAAATTCGTAATATATGAAAATAATTTCGCATGAAGTCAACCCTAAAGAAACGATTCAAGACAATTTTGATACGTTCTATTAATAGTCATAAATTTGTGAATTGAGCGGAAAAACATGAGACACATTATTCTGTTTACTTCCGTATTGTTATCTCCTAATTACACGCATATCTCAAATATTCTCTGTAGTATCTAAGTGGCTTTCAGCAATTGGCGAGTATCTAGGCTCTGCCATAGATTATACACATGTTTGATAAAGTCCAATTACAAAAGAAACAAATAACTGAACGTGACATTGTCGCTGTTAAGTCCGGGAACCCATTATCATACATTTGGGTTGTCATGGGCATCCTCAAAACAGTCACATTTGCTACGGTGACCGTGCGGTCATCACTTCTGCGGTCAATAACATTTCTACGATCGCCTTAGGTGAGAGTACCGTAATCCAACACGAAATTCGAAAATTCTGAACAATACTTTGCACATATGCCATGGCGTTCGTGACCAACTATGAAACGCTTACCCCCCATAGTGTTATATATCAGAATGTACTTGTTCATATAGTTGTTCGATTGATCTACATCAAATTATAGGGAGTCATGTTACTTTTTGAGATATCAGCGTCCATTTATTGTAACTCGCGTTTGCTACCATTTGCTCAATTCTGAGATAACAAACACACGCGGAGTAAACATGCTCACGTTGGAACTATTTTGACCTTCACCGCTATTTTCGTAATTAAACTGAAGGTTGAACTCCTCCACTTTATTTTGATATTAAATAATGGCACACTAGATACCCTAGAAGCCAACTATGGCGTTATTTAGAACAAAATCACAGATTTTTACATGGACTATATACCTTTTGGCGGATGGATATGGAACCTCACACCTTTGATCTTGGATTTTTCAAATTTTGAAGACAGAATCTTAATAGGTAAAATTAGATTTTGTTCATTTCACCAAAACCTCTTATCCATTGGACAGTATGTAAAAACCTGTTTATGTTTTGCGATTCAAAAATTTGTGCAATTTGTCATAAATTTCCTACCGGATATGCATTACGGCAAGGAGGATTGGCTCCCAGAGTGCAACATCGATATTCTGTTTCATATATGGGCATGTCGTGATACAAAATTTGAATTCAAACAGCCGCATTTTGTTCACTTCAACATTTGAATCGTAAATTTTGGTCTTATTTCCTAACAAAAAATTCCAAAACTCACAAGAAATGATTGAGATATTGGTTCGAATCTGTTGAACTGTTATTTTGAATTTATATTCGGGTTTAATTATAATTTCAGAAAATAACGACATTTCGACGTTTTCATTGTTGGAAAACATCGAGTTTCGATCCTGGGAGCCAATCCTCCTTGGCATTACAGTAAACATTTACAACCTGCCAATGGAGAGATGAAGTTCAATCCCAAACTTTTGGAACGCAGTGTATATATTTGTTAGAATGTTTGTTAGATAACTGGCTATTACTCCGCACCAACTCTTGGTTGAAATCATTATACCTTTGATAGATCGCTATATAAACACCCGGGATATCTTGTAACAACTATTTGCTCTAACTATGTATTTTTGTTTATTGGCATATTTAGATAAATTAAAGTTTCCGGGCACTAGTATTGCAGGTGATATTTATATAACTAGGCTATGTCTTCTTAGAGTTACCTGTTACGTTTTGCCATATGGTTAAAGGCCCAGGGCAAATTATGAAAACATTTTTTAATCATTGTACATTTGTTGTGATTTTTGCTTGTTTAAAAACGTTTTTTCGAAGTCTTTCATTGTTGGTCTTTATCATTGTGGGATCGACAGTCTCTACTATCCCAAAGAATAGCTTTAAATAAAGAGAGACTCTGATAAATCAGCATGGTCTTGTACGCATTACATTATTTTCTCAACACCGTTTTTTAAATGTTATGATGACGCAGGGTCACCCTGTGGTATCATTCAGGTGGCCTTTCTTTTGGAAAAATATATTCTGAAATTTTGCGGATCGAATGGATTCAGTATTTTCTCAGAAACTTTTGACAACGCACAATGGATAGTGGACTAAACCTCGCAATAAATATATATATACAAATATAAACATAAATATCTGAATTATATGAAACGCGATTCAATAGTTTTTCACATTGGTTCTTCGTAGAGCGACAACTGTATCTTGGTCGTGTACATTCCGATTAATAACTTTTTGTAGTAGACACTCATTATAGCCTAGAAGGGAAAGGTACGGTACAGTTCAGAGTAAGTCACAAAAGTACATGTAGTCACAATTTCTCTTTTTTGAAAGTCCAACAGTTATGTCTTTTTTAAGTTTGTCCCCTTTTTCTACTCTAATGAACTGGGTGCGGAGTGGCTGAGAGAATGAACTGATGTTAAAACTTCTATTATTTTGAAAATGAATGATATCGGGAATGTGGTTAAACCATCCATGTGCGCCATTATATCTTCACATAATAAGAGTATTTGTCCAAGTCTTACGCAATGGAATTAATTATCCGATTCATAATTTTGATTAAAATTACTTCTCGTTAACTGTTTACCTTAGGGTGGTTTATTAATTAACGAGTTCTACGTTATTGGCAGTCATTGTTAATGTCAAGTTCATCAGACATATCGGTACCTATTCTGAAGTTGCTCGTTTTATGATCTGAACAGTGAGCCCCGAAAAGCTAAATATCTCACGATCCTCTGACGGCTACTGACAGTTTGAATGATTTGAATATCTCAAATGGAGCTTTCGTGGATTTTTATGGGCGTTTGAAATTAATGGGAGGCGCTTATACAAGAGAGTGTCGTTTCATGGTCATGAAATAACATTCTGTATTTCATATCTTTTGAGGTGTATGATCATAAGAAGGGAATATATAGTTTATCTAGGGAGCAGGATAGATAATTTCTGTATCTATTCCGCTATCGCCAAGATCTGGGAAGTGCAGGCTGTTTCCATCCCGGTCCCGTTCCAACGTATTAAGAAATTTTGTTATCTTTGAATATTTTTTTGAAAAATTTAAAGATCAAGATCTAAATATGATTTTTATCTCATTTTGAAAAGAGCTATATTATTTTATGTGGCGCCTACCCGCATGTCCGTCGAAGTTTAGCAATAATGATTTATTGATAAATCATCCATTTTGAATTTTTTTTAACTTGTTTCAGATTGACCACTTTTCTAAAAAAATCATCTAAAAGTTCTCAGGAGTTCAGATTTGACCTGGGATTTGACCTTTGGTTGACCTCCAGTGACCTTCGGAAGTTAAAAAAGTTTGAATTTGTTTTTATTCAAATTTAGAGGTCTGAAAAGTGAACTTTTAAGGTCGAAGGACAAGGTCATCAAACTAGGTCACAGACGATGTTAAGTTTCTAAAAGTTCGAGACTACAAATTAATTCTCGCCATAGCAATTCCAGAAAAACACTGACCTATTCAACTTAAATTTTACCGATGCAAGAGCAGACAAGTGTCAAGATCCGATTAGGTTTTGGGCATGCTGAGTAAATCACATGATGACCATTTCGCTGTCCTGTGTGTGTTGTTTTACTAAATTTTCTCTGAAAAAGTAGAAAAACGAAAATCAATATTACAAAATATATTTTTTTAAATTTTGGACTACGTGTTAAAGCTCTTTACGTTTTTATTTACTTAACCTGCGATGAAATAACTTGAAATTGATGCGTTTCTTCAGGTTCAACAAAGCTATGGGGCTTTAAAGTCAAAATTGTTTTTCAAAAAACCTCTCCCATTGAAATAACACAGGAGGCGAAAAATGATTTTCAAAAATGACTTTGAAGCTCTGTAACTTTAGTATTCATCAAGTAAACTAAACACTTAAAGTGTACAAAAAAGACAATTCAATTTCTATATAAAAATATTTTTTTGCTGAATCTTTTACTGAATAGATATCCTGAGTTCTGATTTGCCCCGAACCCACCACTCCCCATTGGTTTACATGGGAATGACGATTTTGAAAAATTCATCAAATTTATCATCGATTTTCAACCTATTGTAATTGAGGAAAAAAATTGAGAAAATTTGGAGGTATTGGAAATATTAATTATTAAATATTAATATAAATATTAATAAATATATAATCAAGTTACGTTTCCATCAATATTATAAGTTATTCATCGCAGGTTCAGTAAATAAAAATTCA